GAGAGAGAGAGAGAGAGAGAGAGAGAGAGAGAGAGAGAGAGAGAGAGAGAGAGAGAGAGAGAGAGAGAGAGAGAGAGAGAGAGAGAGATTGCCACTTCCAGTTTTGTGATACTTGGTTGATTCGACTTCTGACTATATTTATCCAAATTCCTAGTTGCCTTGTTCACTTGCAATGTCAATGTCTCAAAAAGGCACGTGGAATGCTGAAGACTTGTAATGTCTCCAAGTTCCTTCTCTGGAACTCTTTAACACTTAAAACTGTACAACACAATGCATGTTATTTCATGATACTTCTCAAAACTGACCTTAAACATGAAAACCACGACAGGATAAAAAATGCTCACGTCACTCAGCAAATGCCAACTATGATGTTCTTTTTGAAGACTTGCACCCATAGCCCCCAGATCGGGCCACAAAGCTCTAGCCATCCGTATATAAAGTTCTTTTTTCCATTTTCTTTTGGGCCCCCATGCCCCACTCCCCACCCCTGCTGAAGCTACCCCCCCTCCACCATCAACCCCACCCCGGCCACCACCCGCTGCACTCCCTCACTCAGTCCACCCCTGCCACCTGATCTCGGAGAGCCTAGCTGCGGTAGGGTCAAGCTTCCACCGTCTCCTTCCCACAAAGGTCTATCCATCCGTTGTCCCACGATTCCATCATATAAGTTTTGTTTTTCTGCATGCCTTTCTCCTCTTTTCTTCACCAGCTCTCAGACAGTCTAGCTATGGTAGCCTCCCACTCCCGCCATGTCCTGCTCTCCTCAAATCGGAACCCATTCCCACGATCTCTTGCCCACAAAGCTCTGCCGACCCATTGTTCTGCGCAATTCCCCCGTATAAGCGCATACTCACACTAGGACTTTTCTACGAACCTCTGGATGTGATTGTAAAAGCAGTCAGATGCATTTTGGAAAGTTATGGTGTGAGTATGCCCTAAATTTTGTTTTCTCCTATTCCTTGCTTCCTATTTTTCCACCAACTCCTTGACAGTCTAGCTACGGCAGCCTCACGCTACCCCCATCTCCTGATCTCCATGACACCACTGGCACTAGAGGCACAGCATAGTCGCGTAGTATGTATATAGATAGATAGATAGATAGATAGATAGATAGATAGATAGATAGATAGATAAGATTAGATAGATAGATAGATAGATAGATAGATAAATAGATACAGGGTGGCCGGTGTTGGGGATGAGCCGAACGCCTGAACCCGAACGGCCGAATGTACGGGACCCCTTGGGGATGCGTTCGGCATTTCGGGCCGAACGCGGACCCCAAAAAAACACAGAAAAAAAAAACAAAAACAAAGCTAAAAAAAAAATGAAAAAATAATATGTTATGCAAAGAAAAAAATAGTAACATTTGCCTGAGCATTTTATCCAAATTCCTTACCAAATTTGAAATAAAAATAAAATACAGAAAATAAATACTAATGCAATGAGCCCAATCGTGATGATACTCGTCAACAATGCCAGTCCATACGATTATCAATCTGCTGATGAAAGTCAAACAATCGCAAATGTGTCCAGATAGAAATGAGGTGGGGAATCATACACAGACGAAGAGAAAGAGGGGAGAATAGACAAAGGAGAGAGAAGACAAACAGCCCACTTCTGCTTCGGGTCCCTCCTCCTCCTCGCCACCTCATCAATCAATAGTCCGAACACAAATCTGAAGTTCTTCCGCAGTGTGCCACGTGGCACGTCAATCTGACTACATCAGCGAACCGAAGAATGTCGTCATCAATCAGGTACGTATCTGCGATAACCACAGTCTTGATCTCCTTCCGAAGTGACGAAGAATCAGAACAGCCTCATCAATCACGCAACCCGCCGTGTCATCATTCATGTACAGGAGGCAGCGGCCACGTAAGCAACGGCACGTGGCAGCTGCCACGTCAGCATGCCAAGACCATCGCCAGCCACTATGCCAGCCAGCAGCGCCTTGCCGTCCTCCTATGTCGGCGTCGAGCCAATGTCACAGCGTCGCAGCGTCGCCACAATGTCAAAGTCAATGTGTACAGCATTGACGCAAGACCGAATGAATGTCCAGCCAGGAAGTCAACTCTTAAGTAGTGTTGGTGCGGGGTCTGGACCCCGGGTGCTGTAGGCTTGCACCGTGCAGATCTCGATGTAAATGAGGGCCCAGATTGGCCAGAAACTGTATTCCTCCTGCCCGGAATGTTGTCTGGGTACCTACGCACAACAAGTGAATGTTTTCAACCAAGGGTTTGGGTGCGGTACCTTTGACTCTACAGTTGACTTTGATTCTTGAATTTCCTTTGTGCCGTGTTCGGTCACACAGCCACCTCGACAGACTCAAGGCTGTACGTGTCTCGGTCACACAGCGCAGCACAGACAACTGAGTCTGTGTTTTCCGGGGTCGAAATTCTGAGCCCCGGACTGCTGCTGAATAGGGTTTCTGCATTCCGACCCAAACTTCGAGTTTCGTCGCAGAAACATTTAGGACCTCAACCCTCGTTCATTAGCAGAGACAATATCAGGAGCAGATTCAAGGAGTTCTCTTCTACTAAACCATCTACCTTGAATTGCTTCTGGGGTCGTCCACGCGCTCCTGTGGAGAAGAACCCATGTTCTAGAATTCGGTCAACCTCGTATCCGTCGTCCATATCTGGCGGAATCATAGATGGTCTATGGGGGAATTCATCTCCTTCTACATAAGGTAGCAACTTGGACGCATGAAAGACAAAATAGGTCTTGAGGTGAGGGGGAATATCAATTCTATAAGACGGTCCCTCTGCATCCCCAATTACTTTCAGAACTTCCCAGGGTCCAAAATAGACAGGCAGAAGTTTCTGAGACACCTTTCTTCTAATGAAAACTCTTTAGACTTGACCCAGACTAAATCGCCTTCCTTGAACGTTGATGGTCGGCGATGCTTATAAGCTTGTTCAATCATCCGGTCTTGAGCTTTCTTTAGATTCTCTTTTACCTTTGAGATATCCTCTTGAAACAACACTGCGTATTCTCGGGTCCCTGGAAGTAACCTAAGGAAGTGGTCCCTCGTCAGTACATCAATGAGACACTTAGGTTTCCACCCTTTATGCAATGCGTTAGGTGTTCGCCATGTAGAGGTATGAACACTACCATTATATGCACTTGCAATCTTAGGTAAGTTCTCGTCCCAATGTATTTGATCGGGTCTCACATACATGCGCAGAAGTTGTTGGCATAAACGATTCATTTGTTCACTCTGTCCATTTGTTTCAGGGTGTCGTCCTGATGACATGGTGAGACGTGTATCGTATGCTTCCATCAGCTTTTGCCATGGCATACTTGTGAACCTGGTATCGTGGTCAGATACAATGATAGACGAAAACCGTACTCGGTCACCCATCGCATCTGAAACTTTTGGATCACAAGTTCAGTTCTCGCTTCTGCGGGTAAGGGAATGAACATAGCAAACTTGGAGAACCGATCCACGATCACCATTACTTGACTATTGTCATTCCGACTTTTTGTGAGACTCATGAAATCCATGGAGATAGACTCACCTGGTTCGCTTGGAATTGGTAATGGTCTGAGAAGACCAAGTGGATTCTCATGTGAGGGTTTGTTTCTCTGACACACAAGACAGGTACGAACATAGGTTAGTACATCCTCTTTCAATCCCTTTCATTCAAAGTGTTCTCTGACTTCAGCGTAAGTTTTCTTGAAATCAAAATGTCCTTCGGCGTCGTGACATTCCCCAATAAGCAGACTTTTGATTTCTTCTTGGTGAGGAATACACAAGCGTTGTTCAGTTTGGTCTAACAAGAAAAGCAAACCATCAGTTACCTTATAGTCGGGAAGTAGAGTTGGGTCGTTCGCAAGGACATCCATGATGGGTTTTCATATAGGGTCAGCGGTATAGCCTCGACGAATTCTATCTTTCAAATCATTCCCAACATCTAGGTAAGAGACAATGGCACCAAACAAATCACATCTTCTAGACAATGCATCTGCAACCACGTTAGACTTACCTTTCATAGTGTTTAACTTAAAATCAAAAGTATCAATGAATGCAGACCATTTTACTAGCTTATCAGAGAGCCTAGACTGTGTCTTTATCCACTTCAGAGTAGAGTGGTCTAAATACACAGTAAAGTGTCTCCCTAATAGATAGTGTTTTCAGGTGTCTAAAGCACATACAAAAGCAGACAGCTCCCTTTCATAGGTAGAATTGACAACCTTTTCAGATGACAATCGTGCAGACATAAACTCGATTGGTCTGTAACCATTGTCGTCGTTCTGTTGAAGAACTGCTCCAATCCCATACCGACTTGCATCAGTTGTGACAATAAAGGGAAAAGATGGATCAACAATTTTCATAACAGGGTAGTGAGTCAGAGCATACTTTACCTTTTTGAACGAAGACTCACAATCCTTGTCCCACAACCAGATAGTTCCTTTCTTTAACAATCTTCTCACTGGTGCAGCGATCAATGAGAAGTTCCTGACAAATTTCCTAAAAGAGCTTGCCAAGCAAAGAAAAAATCTTAACTCAGTTACAGACTAGGTTGTGGCAAGTCCCTAATTGCTGATATTTTCTTTTCTTCAGGCCTTAGGCCTTCTTGGTTCGCTATATGTCATAAGTATAAAACTTCAGACTTAGCGAACTCACACTTCTTCGGGTTTATTTTGAAGTTGTCTTCTCGCCTCTTACTCAACATCAGACGAAGATGTTTCTCGTGTTCTTTTAGAGTTTTACTATACACGAGAATGTCATCAAGATAGACTATGACGAACCGATCCAACCATTGACGAAATAACTCATTCATTGATCGTTGGAACATAGTAGGGGCATTACCATAAACTCGTAATGACCATACCTAGTCTGAAAAACAGTCTTG